AAAAACAGAAACAATCTATAATACTCTTCAAAATACTCTACTCCTGCGTAGTTACACCTTTACTAACGTGTTTCCCAGGCACATCGTCGTGGTTTTTTGAATGTTGTCCATGGTCTCCAGATACTTTCTTCACCGTCGAAATACCGATCCGGATCAGATAGGGGTTGACAACGAAGGCGGTGTGACTCAGTCATGAAGTAGCTGTGAGGAATGCGTTCATGGAAAACCTGTGGCAAAAATTGGGGGCCATCAATGATCAAGATCGCCAAAATAGGCAGTTACCTAGCGACTGAACGAAAGTACAGTATGACGTGAAGACCCAAGCTGCAGGTTATCAACTGGAAGATCTGGTTTGGTTGTATTGCTCCCAAAAGCGACACGCGCTATCGCCGAAATTGCACAGAGCTAAACGCACATTCAACATGGCCTCTACAGTATGCAATAAGTAACAAATAATTTTCACTTGACGTTAATCTAAAACAAAATTTGATCAATTTAAGAGTGGCCAACTCAAATAGATTTAAAAGCAACTCGAGATCGTTTCTCATTTGTACATGAACTATTCAGAGGTCTCTTACATCAAGTACAAAAATACATTGTTAATTACCCGAGCCTCCTCCAATCCAGAATATAACTAAGGTCCTGGATACGGTAACTCTTAGACTATATGTTTGTATTTCGAGATGAATGCCGCTAAGTAAATTTTAGAACTCCGGCATTACCCCTGCAGGAGAGAAAAAGTTAGTTACTGTAACGTAAATTTAATTACGTAATTTATTTATTTTAACAATAAATTTATAAGTCTTGAAATGAATTGATTTATAACAGTTAAAATAATTTCATCACTCACATGTACGCAATGACTTCGGCATTGGAATTGGAACTGTCTGAAACGCAATTTGACTTCCTTACATAGCAAACACCTCTCTTTCTAGAAAGTTCTTGAACGCTCCCGAGTATTCTAGAATGTTCTCGAACAAACACCTCATATTTCCTGGAAAGATAGCATCACATTCGTCTCGTTCTTGATCGCCGATGACTAAACTTTCATAGCGCCTCGATGTCTATCGGGATTTCTGGAATATTCGCTACATTACTTTAAAAAAAGACTCTAAGTGGTTATAAAACTTATAGTGAAACTAGCAAATACAAACAAATTCAAGGGTCACCTACCCCTCAGTTACACGCAGTTGATGGCAACATAACTTACAATGAAGCGAATAATTACAATTAAAACTAAGTAAATTACCTTTTGTTACAGCATAAAACTTACACGAAACTTGAATGCGCCTGAATATCTCAAACCTTTTACGACCAGATTATTTGAATTATTAGAGATAAAACGGTGAGAAAGATTTTTTAAATTTTTAATTATCGACCCCCTGCGTGCGGAGATTATGGCCAAACAAGCGCTCTAAACTGTCGTTTCTTGCAGGGATTTTGTTTCAATTGTTTCATGCTTTCGGAATACATTTTTGCCATTGTCAATTAATTAATCGTGTGTTTATTCGAATCCATTGTGCGACCCGCATAGAGTTTTTCATGTTAGTTTTTTCATTTCTTGTCCAAAAATTATATGAAATATTTGTAGTTAATTCCATGGAAAACAAATGCAAACACAAGATACAATTTTCAATGTCAACTGTCAAAACTAATAAAACCAAGAGACTATCCAATCATTTTCTTTCTCAATACGGGCCACAGATACGAAGAAATTACAAAAGACCTAGCAAGAGACCAAAAAATTTCTAAACAAACCAGAACATTAAATTCTTGTTCAACAATCTACCAGTGGCGCACCGAAAGAAGTTCAGGGGAGGAAATGGAACATGACCCCTGAAGAAACAACACCATGAAGATTCTGATTACCATTCACATAACCAACGATTTAAGCCCTTCAGCTTAACTTATATTTCAAATTTGAGTGAAATATCTCAAAAACTACAGGAGACAAAGAAAAAAAGTCTTGAACCCTGCAATTCAATAACGAAGTGTTTGCGAACCTATGTTTATATTAAATTATTAAACGAGGACACCTGGCGACGCCACCGGTGGCTCAACCAGTGGTCTGACTAGTTACTGGGCTGCTGGGCATTTGTTCTTATGGAGCCTATTACACTAGGGACACTGGTGGCGTCGCCAGGGTGTGGTGGCAAGCGTTGTCTAGTGTGCAGTGCGCTTTGTAAGCTGATTCAGCAGAACTGTATCCATACCATTTATTATTATTATCTTCAGATCAGTTTTGTATAGTCGTATAGTTGTGCGTCCTTTTGTCCGCCTGTCCGTATGTGTTCGATATAACTTTTGTAGTTACGGTCCCCAAATACTTTTTGTAGCTTTTAATGTTTGACCGCCCGTCCGTCCGTGTGCGCTATTACTCTTTTTTAAAAGTGGTCAAACAATGATTTTCAGGAAACTGGCTCAACAAAAGCAAAAGGTATAGGACTTCGAGAATAAAAAAAAACTGTGGGGTTAATATAGGAATCAACATATTTCCAATTCAATATAACTCTTCTCCAGTGGCGCACCCATGGGGGGGGGGGGGGTTAAAACACCCCTCGAAATTAAGCACTGATACATTTTTTTTATAAACTTAAAAATAATCTTATATATGTATGGCGAGACTTTTGTTAAAGAATTTTGCTAGAAACATTTGAAACTTGGAATGAAGGAAAATCTAACGCCAGTTTTCCTAAATCGTTTTTCATACCCCAAGATCCTTGAAAAAAAGACCAAGAGCATTATTTCGATGGCGGAATTTTGTTTTTTTGTCTTAGGGGCGAAATTAACGACCTTTTGCAAGGCGGGCGCACGTCGTCGAGAGGTAGTCTACTTCGGGCACCTTTTACGTTCCGTTGCGAATTTTGTCACGCGGTTTAACGTTTCGTAAATCTCGAATCGCTGTCTCTCTTTCTCGTGTCGCCAATAGAAGCTCGAGTAATGAGAAGTGCCCCAAAAATTAAGTACTATCTTGTGGAAGGTGTGTGGACGTCGGAAGTGGGTATCAACAAAGGGAATGTGGTAGCCCCCGACACGATCTTCCTGATAGGGTAGTCAAATCTTCAACCGCGAATTGCGGGTAAACGGAACGTCGGAAGTGGGTACCGTCAAAGGAAATGTGGTAGCCCCCGACACGATCTTCCTGATCGGGTAGCCAAATCTTCAACCACGAATTGCGGGTAAACGGGACGTCGGAAGTGCGTATCGTCAAAGGGTAGCCCCCGACACGATCTTCCTGATGGTGGAGTCAAATCTTCAAACGCGAATTGCGGGTGAACGGGACATCGGAAGTGGGTACCGTCAAAGGGAATGTGGTAGCCCCCGACACGATTTTACTGATGGTGGAGTCAAATCTTCAAACGCGAATTGCGCGTGAACGGGACGTCGGAAGGGGGTACCAACAAAGGGAATGTGGTAGCCCCCGACACGATCTTCCTGATGGTGGAGTCAAATCTTCAAACGCGAATTGCGGGTGAACGGGAAGTCGGAAGTGGATACCGTCAAAGGGAATGTGGTAGCCCCCGGCAAGATTTTACTGATGGTGGAGTCAAAACTTTAAACGCGAATTGCGGAAAGTGGGATGTAGTAATCTTCGACAAGATCTTTTATTGATGGTTGAGTCAAAAGTGACTAATAGAATACTGATCTGACACACAAAAATGCGCTAAAGTCCCTTCGATCTCACACGAGGACTTTTGATAATTTTTTTCTATAACAACTTTAGCAACAATTGTGCTACCTATTTATAGAGATGAGCATTGCGATTTATCGTACTTTTTTATAAGGAATCTTCGATATCGTAAATGTTCTTGTAGTTACAAATATGAAATTTATGTATTATAACAACAAGGTATCAATTGATAAGTACCTCAAATTTCATTAAAATGGGCCCAACTGATTTAGAGATTTTAGCATTAAAGTAAGGCGGAGTAGACATTTTATTCTGACAGTGTACAAACTTAGGGGTAAGAATGATACGGGGTGCAATGTAGTGCGGAAGGACCTCTACAGCGCTGGCTATACCAGAGAGACATGGAGGATAACACCAAATGTAAATGAACTTCTTACTTCTGAATGTAAACGAGTGGTCGAAAAAGGAGACCCTACGAGACAACCTTAAAAGCTGCGCAAGGTCAATAAAACCAGACTGTCTTGAGTTTTGAACAGTACCAACATCCGCACGTCTTTTTGGTCCAACCGGATTCCCTCTTCATTTTACGCTGGGCGTCTTCTATTTTCCGGCTCTCTCCTGAACAAACCAGTTATGCAGACTGGAAAGTAAATTTTAAGTAACCACGACAGACAGGAACAAAGCGATGCATAATGACTAATGAGTGCCGGTCGACCTTTTAAATTTCAATGTGCGCGAGACCCACCGTTTTCGATACCATAAACCAGCGGCACTCGAGGTCGGTGTTTTACTAAAATCACAAATTGCGCTGCGAGGGGTTTGGTTAGCCTAGGAGCGTGTTCTAGGCTAATCTAACTAAAATTAAGTGCGCCCCAAAGATTAATTTAATTGCAAATTGAAGCGAAAATGCACGTTCGCCCCTCACGCACGAACGCATTCGCACTCGTAATTTGGAAACGTTCTCGCTTATCGATTTTTGTTCATCTAGGGCTGAAATTGGGTGGAATTTTGGGCTGTGCACGACGCGAAGGTGTAAAACGATATTTCAGTCGTCAACCTTTGATGGAATAATTACAGTTCGCAGACCGGCGATGCGGGCCGCCCTTTTTGAAGGGTAAGTGTTTCACCCTTAAAGGGCTACGAACTTTTCGACGATTCGAAGCGGAGAAATACGAACGGGCTTCCGTGTAAGCCTTTTAAAACCTTATTCGAATGAACGTTGATCGAAAGCAGGCAAAAGTAGTATAGAATGTCGCGCTTTTGATATATCGAAGGAGGTATATAAGTTTGGTATCAAAATTGTTTTCCTTTAAACCGAGTTCCCCGGTCACGTGAGGCAGAAATCCTTATAATACTACTCAGTAACTTTGAATTCAGTTTCGTATTATACGCGCGTGTGTTCTGTACAAATTGGTGTTTTTCGTTTTTTCTCTCCCTTCATATAATTTTTAAATTAAAAGGTGTCCGTTTTTCTTTCCATTTTAATTAACTTACGGTGTCTGTGATCTTCAACTGTAAATTCATGTAATTTTAGGTGAGTCGACCATAAAAAATTTTCTGCCAAGTTGTAATCTAATCACTTACGTAACTTTAATAATAATTGTATATACCTAATTCCTGTTTTTTTTTGCAACGGTTATGCCAGTTCTGGCGGCACAGACTCATATGATTTGGCCTACTCCGTACGTAACGCGTAAGCAGAGCGTTAATCAATCAAACCTTGTGATGCACTTTATCTAATTTAATGGGCAAATTAGGTGCAAAGGGTGAAATTGATTGCAACCGTGCGTGCAGCACTTCCAAATTTTGAATTAAATCGAATCGATGTGGCCAAGCTTATTTATCAAGCACTCGTTTGGTTTTACATGTGATAAAAATATGTAGGTATTGCGGTAATAAACCGGAAGCACTATTTCACGCTTTTTGATACCTCAGCAATCATTTTATTGTTATTCTCTTAATTGTTTGATTACAATGTGCAATGTTTCCCCTCAAACAAACATTGCATGTGTATTGATCTATTTTGCCGTTTGTGTAACTCTTTCCGTTTGGCATTCACTTTGAGGTCATATCGAAATCGAAGGTTCAATTGTCAAAATAAATTCTTGGAATTTAATGTTGGGATTTCATCTGAGTTGACCACCTGCCCATTAACTTATCGACACACTCTACAGACTACTTGAGATTGAGTTTATCCTCAACTTGAGAAGCCGCAACTCAAATTAAAAATTAATTATAGCTACAAACGTATTTTCGTAACACATTAATACTAAAAATAACCTTGCGGTTACACAATTTGATCTTAAATTGGATTTAATTCGTAGTAGATGTGCAGATAATTCAATTTGCACTTAAAATGATTTACAAGACTACAAGTTAATCTTAGATATAATGATATTACATAGCATAGGGTTCATCAGATTCAACATTTTTAGCCCATTTTTTAATACTTGAAGATGTGTGCCAGGTGTTCGACTTCGACGTACTTAAACTAAGTACCCGAGAGGTGTTTTGACAAGTAAAACGTTCGTAACTTTTACACGCGACGATCATTTGTGGCAAACCTCCCCTTAAACTGTCTATACAGTTATACCTCGCAGTATACAGTCTAGTGTTAAAGTATGGCTACCCTCGGCTATACCCTATAGGATGACAGTATTCATTGATGACAGTGACTATCCAAGGATGTGATCTGCCGAATATGTCAGGTACAACATGATTTTTTGTGCCAATTTTTGTTCCAAACTAACCCCAGAACACAAATTGTGACTGTTGAGGAATCTATGTTTCCTGGAAAATGCTTCCTTTCACTTAACAGTACAGGCTCTTGATAATCTTCGCCTCAAGGGCATAAGAGGGGAAATAAAACAGTAATATTGTCTAGGGGAAAACACGAGGGGAAACAACTTTGAATTTTTGGTGTACACCCCTCTGAATTAATTTGAATTAACGTGAATTAAATTGAATTAACGTGAATTAATTTGAATTAACGTAAGTTAATTTGAATTAACGTGAATTAATTTTAATTAACGTGAATTAATTTGAATTAACGTGAATTAATTTGAATTAACGCGAATTAATTTGAATAAACGTGAATTAATTTGAATTAATGTGAATTAATTTGAATTAACGTGAATTAATTTGAATTAACATGAATTAATTTGAATTAACGTGAATTAATTTGAATTAACGTGAATTAATTTAAATTAACGTGAATTACTTAATTTGAATTTGAATTAACGTGAATTAATTTGAATTTGAATTTTTGGTGTACACCAAAAGTGGTACTTGTTTCCCCCTAGAATATCGTTGTGTCATGTGTGAACCACATGGTCGCCCAGTAAAAACAATTTTTAAAACACATTCTTGCTAAAATTACATAAGCCTAATTTAACTGAGTTTGTACCTGCATACAAAATTTAAACGCATTTACGAAAACTATTTTAAATATAATATTAAACCCGAGGGGTATTTCAATGCTGGTAGTACGTGTACAATTTTGGGTAGTACACACGCAGGGACTGGTAGTACACTGGCAAGACGGAGCAGTACCATAAATCGCATTGGGAGAGCCGCTTATTTCTTAGAAGTACAATATTACAGGAGTATAGGACCACTATAAAATAAAACAAGTATAAATTGTACACAACTCTTGTGCAGATAAAGCGCATTTTTTTAACCAAAATAGCTTAGCAAATCGTTCGGTTATAAGGAGTAGCATCCTATCGTTGTTTACTTTCTTGGTAGATCATTAATAGGAGGAGGCTCTTTACACATAAACCTCGACATAAACATTTAAAGACCGCCTGGCATACGTTGAAAATCTACCAACACTTCATTCGGCAGATATTTGCACTGACAGCTTTGACATTACCAATAGATATTTCTCGTCCTGACGTTCCACTTACCTTTTATGAGTACCCTCTTCCGACACTTCGTTGACAAAATATTTGCTTCGACTTTCCTCCCACAAACCGTTTTCGAGATATTCGCTGTTAAAGTTCTGACAACACCAATGGAAATATTTCTTCCAGACGCATGTTGTACTTGTACAGATTCTGTGTAGTAGGTACAACCTCAATATCTCTTTATTTGACGAGATACGAGGCGAGATACAAAAAATTTGTCTTAACAGGAATTAGACACAACCAAGGAGGCACGATTTGTTCTTCAAGTGCAATGCCTGTTTTTTAAAGTCTTTGAAAAGAGCAATCAATTTGCTATATGACAACATAAAATATGCATATGGTTGATATACAACAAAATGGACAAATTCGTCTTTCAATATTTAGAAAACTTATGAAATCTAGCCCGCCGTGTGCTGTCAGTATACGCCCCAGAGAAAAGATCTGCATCAACTTGTTCAATGTTCCGTTTTTCAGATTTACTTTTGCGCAATAGGATCTCCCCGTGTAATATAATAGACATTGCGCATCCTGACACCACACGGCATACTAGATTTCATGTTTTCTAAATATTGAACACAAATTTCTTCATTTCGTTGTATATGAACCATATGTAATTATGCGTATTCTATGTTGTCGTTGATCGCTCTTTTCAAAGATCTCAAAGAAACATATGGTATTTGAGGAACAAGTATAATCGATTTTTGGTTTTGGTCATTTTAATTAATCTGAATATTGTTCACAAAAAATAAATCTCTTACGCTCCTTAAACTGTTATCGGCACTATACCAATTGACAGTATCAACTTTTTCTTCAGTTCAATACATCGCAACGATGTAGACAATATTATGCTGTCTATTATACCGACAGATGGTATCTGGGCAGGATAATACAAATATGGACACAGCAATAACTGTCAAATTTTTACACATAAGTCGATAAGTTTATTTAAAATTGTTCTTATTTTATAGAAATTAAAATCTGGAACAGCCCATATACGGTAAATATAGAAATCAAGATGAAAATCTACCGCAAATATGAAAATACAATGCAAATGTGAAATTATGCAAAAATATGACAATATACGGCATATATGCAAATATGAAAATATCACGCAAATATGAAAATATACGGCAAATATGCAAATATAGTGCAAATATGAAAATATGTCACAAATATGAAAATATGTCACAAATATGAAAATATAATTCAATTATGAAAATAGTGTACACATTTTTTCCATAATGTTAACCCCTTGGTCTTGATTTAGCTTTGCTGATTTTGCATTTTGTAATTCATTGGTTCACAGGTGCATTGTAAAATTTAGCGTCACTGCAATCTGCGTTCGGAGTCAGTTGATTGTGTTCAAACTTGAAATGTCAAGCTTGGTGTAATATATGTGTGCCATCACAAAAGGTAATTAATGTACTTAATTTTAATTATAACTCTTCGTTTTATTGTGACTTGTATTTGTAACTAGGGGTAGGTAGTCCTTGAATTTGCTTGTTATTTAATTCTTTCACTTTAAATGTTCTCTTATTTTGATTTGTTTAATATTGGCCAGGTCCTTGGGTGTTTTCGTTTAGTTTGATTAGCGACTTCAATTGTTTGTGAATGAATCTGCGTGTAACTGTTTCGTCCGTGCAGAGGTAACTGCTGGAGTGTTAAAATTACTTAGGGGCATTCATCTCGACATACAACTTCAGTCTAAGGTTACCGTACCCAAGACCTCCAGATACCTTCTGAATTGAAGAATCTTATTTTTCACAAATGGGAAAGTAGTGGAATTGCTTTTAAATCTATTTGAGTTGGCTACTTTTGAGCATACCAAATTTTGTATTAGATTAAAGTCAGATTTAGATTATTCAAATTCAAGAGTTATTTCCTCGGATTGTGTTAATTTCATTGCAGATATTGCTCCAAATTTTCCACCAACATTTACCCTCCGTGAACAATTGATTTTCTTTGGACTGTAATTGTAAATTGTAAAAAAGCAGGTGCATGGCCCTCCGTAAAACATTAGCCAGCATTTGCATTGCGCTTTTTACGCTTTATCTCTTCCTTTAGTAACGAAGTAATCTCCGAATTAATAGAAGGAGTTCGAGAAATTCTCAGAATGTTGTATAAACGAATTAAATTTTTCTCGAAATTTTTTGTATATTTTTGTCGGGGTCCCTTGTCGTCGGCTTTGAGACATTGTAGTTACGCCACCGGTTGTGTGAACCACATGGTCACCCAGTAAAAACAATTTTTAAAATACACGCTTGCTGAAATTACGTAAGACTATTTACAGGGTTTGACAAAATTTAAACGCATTTACAAAAACTATTTTAAATCTAATATTAAACTCTAGGAGTATTTCGCTCATAAAGTTCTGACAACACTAATGGATATATTTCTTACTGTCGTCCCAATCGCCCTTTGTGAGTACCCTCTTCCGACAGTCCGTTCTGGAGATATAAGGTAATATATACGATCACGATAAGGGGTCGAGGAGGAGGCCTGTGGTTGGTAAAAATTAATTCATTTCGCCGACACCTTTCATTAGAGTACCGAAAGAAGGGCGGTAGTAAGCAGAAAAAGGTTCCTTTCGTTGAGACCTTTAATTAGAATATCATGATTAATCCGT